CAGTGGCTGTCTTCCAGTGACCTGTGTAAGTGATAGAACCCTGTCGTGAGGCCAGCACGAGCGAAGGGCTATACCTAACACAGAATGCACTGGGTAGCATATTCCAGCTGGAAGTATGCTAACAGGCTGCCTGCTCGTAGGAGGTCTTACAAAGCACATATCAAGCAGCGTAGAGGTGATACATATGAATCTCTGAGGTACCCAGCCCGCAGGGTGGATGTGTTTCAGCGTCAGAGATGGCAAGGGTGGCTTGCCAAGGGAAAGACACATGCTGCCGAGAGAGACTTACTGTGGAAATACACACGTGGGATTGCCCAAGAGGGGAATCACAACACATGGAGGCACCTAGTCAAACACAGGGGCTCAATATATATATATATATATATATATATATATACACTCACTGGCCACTTTATTAGGTACACCTTGCTAGTACCGGGTTGGACCTCCTTTTGCCTTCAGAACTGCCTTAATTCTTCGTGGCATAGATTCAACAAGGTGTTGAAAACATTCCTCAGAGATTTTGGTCCATACTGACATGATAGCATCACGCAGTTGCTGCAGATTTGTCGGCTGCACATCCATGATGCGAATCTCCCGTTCCACCACATCCCAAAGGTGCTCTATTGGATTGAGATCTGGTGACTGTGGAGGCCATTTGAGTAAAGTGAATTCATTGTCATGTTCAAGAAACCAGTCTGAGATGATTTGAGCTTTGTGACATGGTGCATTATCCTGCTGGAAGTAGCCATCAGAAGATGGGTACACTGTAGTCATAAAGGGATGGACATGGTCAGCAACAATACTCGGGTAGGCTGTGTTTTTTTAAGCATTGTTAAAAAATTAACAATGCTCAGTTGGTACTAAGGGGCCCAAAGTGTGCCAAGAAAATATCCCACACACCATTACACCACCATCACCAGCCTGAACCGTTGAGACAAGGCAGGATGGATCCATGCTTTCATGTTCTTTACGCCAAATTCTGACCCTACCATCTGAATGTCGCAGCAGAAATTGAGACTCATCAGACCAGGCAACGTTTTTCCAATCTTCTGTTGTCCAATTTTGGTGAGCCTGTGCGAATTGTAGCCTCCGTTTCCTGTTCTTAGCTGACAGGACAGTCTTCTGCTCCTGTAGCCCATCTGCTTCAGGGTTCAACGTGTTGTGCAGTCAGAGATGGTATTCTGCAAAGTAAGATGTTATTTTACTTTGTAGATGCTTGGTTTCGGTTTATGGCTGATAATGCTTTAACAAAGGCTTTTTATATCCCTATGGGAAAAAATTAACAGAAAAAATACTTCCAGAACCAGCGCTGCTGAAAAAGTGGGCTGGCACTAATGCACTCTATTGCTGCTATCTTATGGGACAGGTTGCTGGATAAACCATGTATAATGAACTCTGCAATATTCCATAAGAAGTGTGAATTTTGATTTCATCATGTTTTAAAATAAATTGCATGCAGAGTGCTATTTGTGTCATGTAGAGTCACTGTCTATGAAGAGCGATCCAGATCAGTAATTTTTTCCGTGATTGTTAGCATGCTACCAGTGTAGGCCGTGAGGCAGCTCAGGAACAGAGCTTATGTGTGTGTTTGTGTGTAAATGTGTGCGCAGAGTGACATATAGTAGATCGGCACAGCTTGTGTAGTGACAGATGGTGAAGCACCTCAGTAAGATTAATAGCCGGATTTTCTATTCAATCGGATCTTCCTGCAGTGAAGGGAGGGTGTGGTAAAAATACTCTGACCAACTAATCTGTGTGTGTGTGTGTGTGTGTGCCTGCACCATTGTGACTTTAGTACATTTGCTAATGGTAGATGTTCTGTAATTACTGCTTTAATTCCAATCCGTTCACTAACATTATTGTGACAATTTTTTAATGCCTCATGTTTGTCATCTCATCTCATTTGCTAAGTATCCATGACAACAGGTGCAACACTTTGCGCTAGTGTGCTTGTGTCAGCAGTGCGTCTGGTTGGGTAGCAGAGGAAAGGGTGTGAACCGTCAGTGGTGTGATACAGCAGATGGTCAATCATCTCATAAAATCACTATAATTTACTCAATTCTGTATTTTCTCTCGTTTTTATATTTTAAATGTAACTACTTTTTATATATTTAATTAGAATTTTACAAGTGAAATATCTGAAACCATATTTTTATTAAATATATCATTTAAATATTCAAAATTGGAGTCAGTAAAACATTTTTAAACTTTTATTCATCAAAGATACATTACGCCTCATACACACGGGGCGTCGGCATCAACGCCTCTCGTTTACTTTGAATGGAGTGACGTCAAGTGTTGCCGAAATGAATTGTTGGTCTGTCGTGTCGCGTTGGGTCCGTTGCTCACGGCAGAAGTTGAAAACTTTTCAAGCACCAACGCAGGTGTCAGCCAGTCAGATTGCCTTATGCAAATACCCTGGTGCAGACGCTAGCCAATCGCGTTCATGCAACACCAGAAAACTAATGTGATTGGCTTTTGTCACTATGACGGTCGCGTCAGCACCAAGCTTCAGAAACGCCCTCCATCAAACGTCGACGCCGATGCCCCGTGTGAATGTACTGTTAAAATTGTGTAAAAGTGACAGAAGACTTTTAAAGGGGTCATATGATGCTTTTTTAAAGATCATTATTTTGTGTATTTGGTGTAACAGAATATGTTGACATGCTTTAATGTTCAAAAACCACATTATTTTTCAAATACTGTACATTATTGTAGGCCCTCTGTGCCCCGCCTCTCTCAAACGCTTCGTTTTCAACAAAGCCAGCTGGCTAGCTGACCCAGTGCATTGTGATTGGCCGATCTCTTTGGATTTGAGACTTTAGTCTTTGCAACTTTACAGATCTTCTTTATGCACCAAGAGCTTGTAACACTCCAAAGAGAAAGAAAACATTGAAATCGCATCATATGACCCCTTTAAAATGTTACAAAAGATTTCTATTTCAGATAAATGCTGTTCATCAGAGAATCCTAAAAATATTTACAATTTACACAAAAAATATGAAGGAGCGTAACTGTTTTCAACATTTATGATAATAATAAATGTTTCTTAAGCAGCAGATCAGCATATCAGAATGATTTCTGAAGGATCATGTGACACTGAAGACTGGAGTAATGATGCCGCTTTGCCATAATTTTCAGCCATACACTATATTTAGAGTATATGTGGAAATATATGATCACAGGAATTAAACTTTTACGCGGATATTAACATTTTAACAAATATTCAAATAGAAAACAGTTATTTTAAATTGTAATAATATTTCACATTATTATTATTTTTACTGTATTTTTGTTCAAATAAATGCAGCCTTGGTGAGCGTAAGATGCTTCTTTCTTTCAAAAACATTAAAAATCTTACATACACCAAACTTTCGATGGATAGTGTGTATCATTTTGAAGAGTTTACATTTCTTATCCAGCTTGCATTGTGCTAAGCTAATAGGCTTTATTATCTATGTTGAAAAGAGTTACAGCATCCATTTCAGCAGTTGAAAACTGCTTCATATTTTTGTGGAAACCGTGATACATTTTTCCAGGATTCTTTGATGAATAGAAAGTTCAAAAGAACAGCATTTATTTGAAATATTAACATTTTCTAACATTATAAATGTCTTTACTGCCACATTTGATCAATTTAAAGGGATAGTTCACCCAAAAATGAAAATTCTGTCATTAATTACTCACCCTCATGTCGTTCTGAACCCGTAACACCTTCGTTCATCTTCGGAACATAAATTAAGGTATTTTTGACTTTATGACCCTTCATAGACAGCAAGGGAACTACTACATTCAAGGCCCAGAAAGGTAGTAAGGACATCGTTAAAATAGTCCATGTGATATCAGTGGTTCAACCTTAATGTTATAAAGCTACGAGAATACTTTTTGTGCACGAAGAAAACAAAAATAACGATTTTATTAAACAATTTCTTCTCTTCCGTGTCAGTCTCTGCCTCCATTCATGAGAGTACCACGATGCATGCGTGCGCGTGTTCCTCTGCTTGGAAACAAGGCACAGCGCATGCGTGTTCTGTGGAAGAATGCCGGCTCCTGCGTCAGCAGCATCATCACACGTATGCGTCGTAGTACTCTTGTGAATGCGTGTCGAAGACTGACACAGAAGAGAAGAAATTGTTGAATAAAGTCATTATTTTTGTTTTCTTTGTGCACAAAAAGTATTCTTGTAGCTTCATAACAACCACTGATGTCACATGGACTATTTTAACGATGTCCTTACTACATTTCTGGGCCTTGAGCGTGGTAGTTCTCTTGCTGTCTATGAAGGGTCAGAAAGCTTTTGAATTTCATCAAAATATCTTAATTTGTGTTCTGAAGATGAATGAAGGTCTTACGGGTTCGAAACAACATGAGGGTGAGTAATTAATCACAGTTTTCTTAATTAATCACAACTATCCCTTTAATGCATCCTTGTTAAATAGAAGTATTAATTTCTTTCTTTTTTTTTTACTTACTCTAAACTTTTGAATGGTATTGTATTTTTTGTTTCCACAAAAATATGAAGCAGCACAACTGTTTTCAGCACTGATAATAGTAATAAATGTTTCTTGAGCATCAAATCAGAATATTAGAATGATTTCTGAAGGATCATCTGACACTGCAGTAATTATGCTGAAAATTCAACTTTGCCATAATTTTCAGCCATACACTATATATAGAGCACATATAGGAATATTTTCATATATATAGAATTTGCCATCTTTTCTTCATGAGACATTTTTTGAAATATGAGCCATAATGCAGTGTGACTGATCATTATATTTTAGAACAGGGGAAAAAGCCCTTCTAAAAATTGGCCACTGATGAAACTTGAACTATAATATTACATTGATTTATACTGTATAATGCTTGTAAAAACACAGTGAAAGATATTTATTATTAAGATCTATTGTACTTTAGCATTTTTAAGACATCTGTTTCATGCTAGTTGCCATTCTACACACTTATTCAGTGTAACTGACTCTCTTTCTCCTCCTCAGTTCTTTGCCATCTTCGCGTTCTCCACCTGCGGCGGTTACTCTGGAGTGTTACGTCTGAGCGTGGAGTGTAAGAACCGTTCAGAGAGTGACCTGAACATTGAGGTTGAGTTTGACTACCCATTCAGGTCAGTGTCCCACTGCCATTCCTGTCCAATCAGATCGCACAGCAGTCACAAGTCCTAAATTAATTTTGACCGTCTTCTATTCTTTAATTGATGTGTTTGATCCACTCAGTTCACACATAGTGCTGTAGGTCAGATGTACTGTCAGTTTTTTTATCGTACAATGCAAGTATTTAGATTATATAAGCAAATAAAAAAATAAATATATAAGGAAATAAAGGTTCGAAACACACCTTTAATTTAATTTATTTATTTTTGCAAAAACAACACTAAAATGCACATGGTAGACCCTCGGGTTTTGAATGGCCGTGCTATTAAAATTATTTATATAATTCACGTCAAGTGGCCATTATTATTTGCCAGCATGGACAACAGCTGTCATGGATGTTCTGCAGCACAAAATCTGACTGAACGGATAAATAATGGAAAATAATGTTCATTTTCATTTGGTAGACTATTTTATCTTCAGCTCGTTAGAAGTGGAGTTCTTTAGTGAAATAAAGTAGTGACAAGATATTATTTAAATGAATTCTAATGAATAAGTTAGAGAGAGAGAGCTAGCGAGCGAGTGTGAAGCTTGCGAACAAGTTAAAATTATTACGTCATTGCTAAGCAATATAATGTAGCTTTTAGTAGTGAAGCTGTTGTATTTATAAAATTCACGGGGCAGGGGTTGAAAACCAGCTCCTGAATGTGCAATTTCTTACCTAACCTATACAAAGTTTCCATCTCAATAAAATGCGAGTGCATGCACATCTGGCAAACGTGTCGCCCTCGCATTGGGAGTTCTGCGGGGAATCAGATATGTGTGTATAGACATAGGTCGGATGACCAGATATCGGATATGTATCTGATTTTAAAACCACATTTGGAAGTGACTCGGATCGGATGTGAAAAAAATTGGATCTCGTGCAGATTTTTGTGTTTACACGTGTGCAACAAATTCCGATATGTATCGGATGTGAGCAGAAAAATCCGATTTTTTTGTGCCCGTGTAAATGCAGCCTATTTCACACTTCAGACCAAACTATCAATGAGAGCAACGGTACACCTGATCAGAATGAATGTATCTCTAGAGAAATTTTAATGGAATAGTTCTGTAACAGATGAGTGCGGCAACGGAGTTGGGAATCCAAATGCAGGCTTTATTTGAAAGAGCATTGGCAGGGTCAAACACCAGCAAACAACAATAACCAAAGGCAAGACAAAATTAGTAATCCAGATAACAGGCACTGGTCAGGGCAGGCAGCAAACAATCAAAAACCAGGCAAACAGTCCAAAGTCAAAAAACACTGCCGAGGCAAAGAAGTAGCAAAACAAGACTTCACAAAGTGTGTATGTGTGTGCAGATTATATAGTCCCTCTGATGGGTAACAGGTGTGACAGTAATCAGTTCCTAGAGCGTGGATTGTGGGAAATAGAGTCCGAGAGAATACAGAGAGACCTCTGGTGGTGAGAAGGAGGAATGACAGGGACCGGATTCATAAATTTTTTCAACCAAAAATGAAAATTAGCTAACAATTGATTCACTCAAGGCAATCCAAGATGTAGAGGAGTTTGTTTCTTCATGAGAACAGAAAAGCATTGCATCACAATACATCAGAATTGATCATTTCATCACTTGTTCACCAATGGATCCTCTGCAGTGAATGAGTGCCGTCAGAATAAAAGTCTAAACAGCTGATAAAAACATCATGATAATCCACACCACTCCAGTCCATCAGTTAATGTCTTGTGAACTGAAAAGCTTCATGTTTGTAAGAAACAAATCCATCATTAATGTGTTTTAACTTTAAACCATTGCTTCTGGCCAAAATACAAGTCCATAATCCATAATAACGCTTCCTCCAGTGAAAAAGTCCTTACACTATTGTCCTCTCACTTCAAAATCCACTGACATATTTGTTTTGGACTGTTTTCTGTTGTTTAATCTAAGCTCTCCTGATTAACCAACATTACGGATTTTAATTGAACGATGACTTTAGCCAGGTTTGAAGTTAAAAACAGTAAAAAAAAAAACATTTTACACTTACAAACATGTAGCTTCTTGCTTCAAGACATTAATTGATGGACTTTTGGGTGAACTATTCTTTTTAGGACATGAAGCAACAGTGGTCAAAGACATTCATGTCTAGCACATGTTCGGTTAAGAAAACAACTGAAAAACAGCACTGGCAGACACAAAAACACTTTCAGTGTTAATGGTCGCATATTCACATGACATAGAAGTAGCAGAATTTTCTTTTACCTCTTAAAAAGTAACATTTAATTTTAGGTGTTTGTAGGTGAATATGCACTGTTTGTTCTCTGTGTTCCTAAGTATCTTGATGCTGTTTTACTGACTGATAAACCACTTTTTAGATGTTTGAATGAGAGAGCGGTCCAGACGAATGCGAGTCGATTCAGGCCGCTTTGTAAACTAGCTTGGCCGAGTCACTGAAAAAAATTTCAAAATGATAGCCATCAACAGATATACACATAATAACTGCAGAAATACTGGCAGGGGAAACATTTCTCAGGTCAGTCGGAGCATTCATGGTACGCACAGCTGTACAGCTGCAGGCGCCACTGCTTAAAAGTATTTAAATTGTCTTTTTTTTTCAAAGTGAATGTTTTCAAGGGGTCATATGATGCGATTTAAATTTTTCCTTTCTCTTTGAAGTGTTACAAGCTCTTGGTGCATAAAGAAGATCTGTAAAGTTGCAAAGACTAAAGTCTCAAATCCAAACAGATATTCTTTATAAAAGTTAAGAGTCAACCAAGCCTACCTAAAATGGGTCTTTGCTTTCTTTGCTTTTCTTTGTCGTTCTAACACGCCCCCACATGTCTACGTCACGATGTGGGAAGATTTGCATAACGCCGCCCAAATGTTCATGCAAAGAAAGAAGGCGTAACATTTATTCTCGCTGTAGTATTGTTGTTGCGCCGCCATGTTGTGAAGGTGCTGTGTGTTTCGTTGTGAAAGCAAAACTACTTTGTTTGGCCTTCCAAAAGAGGACGATATCTGCTTCGTCATGCCTGGAGCTGATCCGTACTGGTTGCTGAGGAAATACATCAACTTTGCGCTGTGGATCACCGGATCGGCTTTCACCGTGGACGAAGCGGAGTCCAGCCCGAGGTCGTCACATGTGGCTGGCGCAAGCCCACCGGCCGCTCCTTTGTCAATTGTGCCGGCCAACGCTCACTCTAGCCCGCCAGTCTCCGCTCACTCTAGCCCACCGGCCTCCGCTCACTCTAGCCCACCGGCCTCCGCTCACTCTAGCCCACCGGCCTCCGCTCACTCTAGCCCACCGGCCTCCGCTCACTCTAGCCCACCGGCCTCCGCTCACTCTAGCCCACCGGCCTCCGCTCACTCTAGCCCGCCGTGTGTGACACTATGTGTTTCGTTGTGAAAGCGAAACTACTTTGTTTGGCCTTCCAAAAGAGGACACGACTAGAAATCAGTGGTTAAGTTGCAACAAATGCCTCGTTTATAATGGGTTTTTGTCTCGTCGCTCCGGCCGGGACACGGCATCACAGTATGGTAAGGGCGTTAACATTTCATTCCCAGCTTGACATATTCGGCCAATCACAACGCACTGGATAGCTGGCCAATCAGAGCACACCTCACTTTTAGTTGCAACAAATGCCTCGTTTATAATGGGTTTTTGTCTCGTCGCTCCGGCCGGGACACGGCATCACAGTATGGTAGGGGCGTAACATTTCCATCACATGCTTGAGGTATTCGGCCAATCACAACGCACTGGATAGCTGGCTAATCTCAGCACACCTCGCTTTTCAGAACGATGAGCATTTCAGAAAGGCGGGGCATAGAGGAGAAAAATGACGATGTTTTGCTGGACATAGTAGTTGGCGGAGCAGCTGCGCTGATCAAGCGCTTCAGGATGCGCAGATGGGGGAATCTAGCCGGCGCCCTCGTGAAGCTCAGGCAGCGCAGATTTCGAATGCCGTTGCCTAGCATCCATCTGGCGAAACTCCGCTCTCTACCCAACAAAACGGACGAACTCCTTCTGCTCTCCCGGACAAATAAGGATTTCTCACTCTCTGCTGCTCTGTGTTTCACGGAAACCTGGCTGAATGACGCCATACCATACAGCGTGTTAAATCTGCCAGGCTTTTAGCTGTTCAGAGCAGACCGCGATGCAGAATCAACGGGGAAATCACGCGGCGGTGGGACATGCTTTTACATCAACGAAAGGTGGTGTACAGATGTAACCGTGTTAAAGAAGATCTAGAAGCGCTTTTCATTAACTGTACGCCTTTCTACTCGCTGAATCTACTTTTGCTCATTCATTCTCGTCAGTGTTTACATTCCTCCGCAAGCGCACATGAGCTCCGCTTTACAGAAACTCGCTGATCAGATCACAGAGACAGAACAACAACACCCGGACTCTGTTTTAATCAGTCTTGGGGACTTTAATAAAGCAAATCTCTCCCGTGAACTGCCAAAATACAGACAGCACATCACATGTCCCACGAGAGACAGTAATATATTGGATCACTGTTACACCACAATAAAGAATGCATATCACTCTGTTCCACAGGCAGCTTTGGTGCTCTCTGATCACTGTTTGGTTCATCTTATACCGACCTACAGGCAGAAACTGAAATCAGCTAAACCTGTATTAAGGACTGTAAAAAGATGGACTAATGAAGCAGAGCGGTATCTACAAGCCTGTTTTGACCTCATTGATTGGAGTGTTTTTGAAGCTGCTGCCACCAATATGGACGAGCTCACAGAGACTGTAACATCATATATCAGTTTCTGTGAAGATATGTGCATTCCTACCAGGACTCATCTAACTTACAACAACGACAAACCATGGTTCACTGCAAAACTCAGACAGCTCCGTCAGGCCAAAGAAGATGCTTACAGGAAGGGGGACAATGTCTTGTATAAACAGGCCAAATACACACTGGAAAAGGAGATCAGAGTGGCAAAGAGGAATTATTCTGAAAAACGAAGGACTCAGTTCACTTCCAGCGACTCCGCATTAGTGTGGAAAAGTCTGAAAGAGATCACCAACTACAAGACACCATCCCCCAGCACTTTAGAGAATCAACAACTGGCAGATGATCTAAATGAGTTCTACTGCAGGTTTGAAAAAAACACCCCACACTTACCCTGAACACCTCTCCACACAACCATTCACACCTCCTGCAACCCCCCTCTCCCCCACACCTGCACCTCAAATCAGTGAAGATGAGGTGCGCCAGGTCTTCCGGAAGCAGAGAAGGAAAAACGCACCAGGCCCAGATTGTGTTACACCAGCCTGTCTAAACTCCTGTGCTGACCAGCTGGCCCCCATCTTCACACAGATCTTCAACAGATCACTGGAGCTGTGCGAAGTCCCTTCATGCTTCAAATGCTCCACCATCATCCCCATCCCAAAGAAATCCAAAATTACAGGACTAAATGACTACAGGCCTGTAGCTCTAACGTCTGTCGTCATGAAGTCATTTGAAAAACTGGTGCTGGCCCACCTGAAGAATGTTACTGGACCCTTGCTGGATCCTCTTCAGTTTGCCTACAGAGCAAACAGGTCTGGGGACGATGCAGTCAACATGGGACTGCATTATGTTCTGCAACATCTAGACAGACCAGGGACTTATGTGAGGATCCTGTTTAACAGACAGGCAGCAGCTAGTTAGGCTATCATCCCAAACCTCCTCCTGCCCAAACTAACTCAGCTCTCCGTGCCCACCTCCATCTGTCAGTGGATCAACAGCTTCCTGACAGACAGACAGCAGCTAGTGAGGCTGGGAAAACAATAAAGCTCATTCTGATTCTGAAACAATAATGTACAGTATGTGGAAAATAATGTGTTTTTTTTACCTTAAACCGCATAAACACATTTCATTACACCAAATACACAAAATAATGTTCTTTTTAGCAACATCATACGACCCCTTTAAACTCATTCAAATGAATTAGCTTGAATTAACATGCACACACACTCTCATACTCTGGTCAACCAAATGTAACTTCTGACAGACATTAACCAAGTGTCTTTCTCCACAGACTGCACCAGGTATGGTTTGATGCTCCTACGTGTAAAGGGCCGGAGCCTGAACGGCTATTTCTGGAGGGAGACAACTCTTCCTCTGCTGAGTTCTTTGTCACCATTGGTGTCTTTTCCTTCCTTTATTCAATGGCAGCCATTTCTGTGTACATCTTCCTCGTGGAGAAATACCGTGAGGGAAACAGAGGAGCTCAGGCTGTGAGTCTTCTTGCACTCTCCTTCCTGTGAAGCAGACAGAGGTGGAAAGTAACAAATTACATTTACTCGCGTTACTATAATTGAGTAGCTTTTTTGTGTACTTCTACTTTTTAAAGTAATTTTTAAAATCTGTAATTTTACTTTTACTCAAGTATATTTTGTTTGAAGTATTGTACTTCGCTACATTTTAAAATGCATGAATTACTGAGTAAAAAAAATCACTCCCTGGAAACTACTGCAGTAGGCTAAATAATGGGCAAGAGAACAAACTGGTGCTAAAATCACAAGAAAGATGGAGATGGACAAGACGGGCGTTATGGTGCAGACCCAGCTGAAAACGAGACCACGTCGTATTCTGCTGAAGTTGAACTCTAAGGAAATGAAGTGAACCCCTGGCATATTTATGCTCTATTATGTAGTGTAAGCTGTGTTTGCCTAGGGAGACCAAACTAGCAGCTTATAAAATCTCGACATCAACCCTTCGCAAGCGTGTATAGGTAAGGTAAATACTTGCATCGTTGCATTGGTGGTTAAAATGAAGCTTTGACAGTTTAGCAAAAGGTTTTGCACAAATTAGCCAAAAAGACAGTGTTACAGGGTGTGTGATATATATATCGTTTGCAATAATATCGTAATTTTTTTAATGATGTGCGATTTGACATTATCAGTATTTTTGCCAAAAACCAAACAAAACACTCCTACAGAGTGCCCTGAAGATAGTCTTAAAAAAAATATTTTTAATTGGTTAATTATTAGTTAAATGTTAGTTCATATTAGGTCCATGAAAGGAATAGTTCACCCAAAAATGAAAACTTGCTGAAAATGTGCTCCCTCTCGTGCCATTCAAGATGTAGATGAGACTGTTTCTTCATGGGAACAGATTTGGAGAAATGTAGCATTACATCACTGTTTCAACAATGGATCCTCTGCAGTGAATGGGTGCCGTCAGAATGAGAGTCCAAACAGCTGATAAAAACATCACAATAATCCACAAGTAATCCACACCACTCCAGTCCATCAATTAATGACTTTTGAAGCCAAAAGCTGTGTGTTTGTAAAAAACAAATCCATCATTAAATTAAAATTAGTCCGTGGATAAAACATCTTAATTCACTGCAGAGGATCCATTGGTGAGACCGTGATGTAATGCTACATTTCTCCAAATCTGATGAAGAAACAAACTCATCTACATCTTGGATGATTTATGTATGAGCAGCTCAGCCGCGGTGCAGTGGGCGGAGCTCCGCGCTCTCTCTGTCTGCGGCATTCTCCCTCATGGCTGGCACGGTTGCCGGCTCTCGCACCTTGACTGACGTCAAGTGTCCACTCCACAAAGGCGGCAAAACTCGCTCGAGGGCCTTCCTCGGACGACAGCGCTCTGTATGCTGAGTTTAGACTGGCATCATAGAACGCACAGAGTGCGTCGTCCGGTTGGCTGGAGAGGTTTGCGAGGACCAGGAACAGTCTGGTGTGGCTCTCGAGCGATCTTTCCCCTGCTCCAGCAGGAGGAGGAGGTATTCAGGATGGGCGAAGGGTGAATACCTTTGGGTGAATTACCAATACTACTAGGGCAATGCCTGCTAGAACTAAAAATAGTTGTAACGTCCAGTGATAAAATCAGTGTGAACTGCACTTGTTTAGTCACATGTTTAGTATAATCAGGTGAAACAGGATGTAGATGTATTTGGGTACACAAATTAATGCATACATGCAAATAACCATTTGGCTGATTTCTGTGGTTCCTGCAGGCATTTGGCTTCTGTAATGTGGTGTTGTGGGCAGGGAACCTGTGGTTTGTCTTAAAGGAAACCGGCTGGCTTGCTGCCTTTGCCGGCACTTACATGCCCTCAGGAGAGAAGCAGCCAGCACCAGACTCCTCCGGCCAAGGTGGGCATTAAAGTCACAGTCCATAAGTTCATATCAGCAAGTTTTTTTTGTAGCTGTTCTAAACATTTATGATTAAGTTAATTTATGACAGTCACAACTTAACTATATTCTCCTTTAAATGTATTTTCTGGGCTATGGACAAGAAGGTTATGGCCAGGACCCTTACGCCAGCTCTCAGAGCGGATACCAGCCCGACTACAGCCAGCAGGGCGGTGGATACGAAGGCGGAGGCTACAACCAGTATGGTCAGGGTGAGCCCACCTCCTTCTCCAATGAGATGTGAGCTCAAGCTCTGCACTGGTGAGTGAACAAGCCCTGAAACCTAACATGACACATGTAACATTCTGCTGTTTTAAAAAAACAGCAACATGTATTTGTTATTTCCCCTTTATCTTAATGATAGCAGTACTCAAGCTGCATGAACTCCACAAGTTTGTGTTGATCATGATTAGACTTGTGCCGGTATTCGGTAATGTGATATATCACGGTAATGGATATGCACGATATTGTTATCGTGAGCACTTCTAAATACCGTGAATAATTATATATTACAAATTATTTCTAATTTTGAATGCATTTTAAGAATACTTTTCCCATCATCTGGTCAAAATGCACATCACCGCTGTATGCTGCGTGAAAGACGCGTGCGCACTCTGACGTAAACAAGCGCGGACGAGAAGCGCACGGCAGAACATGTGAGAGACGCTCTGGATGAAAGCGCACTTTCACTCTCTGACAACAGATGGCACTAAACGGCAGAAATAATAATAAAAATAATTCATTTAAATGCAGCCGTTACCCCGGAAACCCTGTAAACGAAGCAGCTGCTCTACTTTCTGTTTCTGAATCGTGTTTAAATGATTTTAACAGCCATTCAGATTTGTGCATTTGCTATGATGTTCATCACAGCGCCAAATACTTAAATATGTAGACTTAATAGGCTATTTATTTCCAAACTTTTTTTTACATTTTAATCTGGACTACAACATGTCCTCGATATTGTTTGAAAGTGTTTTGATTCTTTATTGTTCGGTCACACTTTACATTAGGGCTTCATTAGTTAACAAGTTAATTCATTAGTTAACATAAACTGCCAATGAAAAATTCTTCTGAACATTCATTAATCTTAGGTATTCCAATATTTAATAACAGGTTGTTAAAATCGAAAGTTGCAACTGTGTTATTTAATGAGCTAACATGAACTAAGACTTGTATTTTTTTTAACAAAAATTAATAGCTTCTGTAGCAAATGTAGCTATTGCTCGTTGTGAATGTTAATGCATTAACTAAGGTTAACTAATGAGGTCTTATTGGAAAGTGATACCTATTGGTCTTTATAGTTCTTTTGCACTTTAATCTGTGTAAAACTTTTAACTTTATACATTTTTCTGTATTGCTTTATTGCATTTAAATGTTCAGTTATTTTTGTTATAAGAAGCACTTTTTTAAACTAGATTCCAATATCGTGATAATACCGTATACCGTGATAAAAGCATTAGCAAATAATCACAACATGAAAATTTGATACCGGAATATCCCTATATCATGATGATCATGTTCTTGAGCATCTGATGAGTCTTGTGCTTCAGTGGAATCAAAAACACCTGATTGTTTGTAAAAAGAGTCACATAATCAGTAACACAAATTTACTTATTTTATTAGTTACAGAAAAATAGTGATAATCAGAATAATCAGAAATATTTATTTTGTATTCATTTGAAATCATTTTAAATTATAACCTTTGTTTTAATTATTTTATTGAAAATCTTTTAAATAAAAAAAGAGTCACAGATTTTCAAAGTGGTTTCAGATTATTAGTGCCCATTATATATTGCTCACTACACACACTGACCTTCATAGAGGTCATTGTATATATATATATATATATATATATATATATATATTACAGATTGTGTCAAAGCAGCTTTACAGTGTCAAACAGGAAAATAGTTTGTCGATAATGCAAGAGGACAATAACAAACAGTCAATTTTTCAATTAAGGTCAGTTCATTGATGACACACACACACACATATACTGTATATACATATATATATATATATATATGTGTGTGTGTGTGTGTGTGTGTGTGTTTAGGTTTACAATAAACATTTTTAAAGGGGTAATATTTTACATTTGACACTACTGTTCAAAGTTTGGGGTCAGTTTTTTATGTTTTTGAAAGATGAAAAATGCAATAAAACAGTAATACTGTTAAATATTACAATTTAAAAGAACTGTTGTCTATTTTAACATATTTTAAAATGTAATTTATCCCTGTGAGTCAAATCTGAATTTTCAGTCACATTACTCCAGTCACATAATCCTTCAGAAATTATTCTAACATGCTGATTAGCTGCTCAAATTTTTTTTTATGAATATTAGCACTGTTGAAAACACTTGTATTGCTTCATATTTTTGTTGAAATTGATACATTTCCTCAGGATTTTTCATGAACAAAAATGTCAAAAGAACAGTGTTTATTTGAAACAGATATCTTTTGTAGCGCTATAAAATTATTTACTGTCACTTTTGATCAGTTTAATGCATCTTGCTGCTTTTAATACATTTTACTGACCACAGACTGTTGATTGACAGTGTTTATATTTGCGATTTGTGTCTATTTATACGTTTACATTTAATCATTTAGTAGACGCTTTTATCCAAAGTGACTTACAAATGAGGAAAACAATAGAAGCAATCAGACCGACAAGACAGCAACAGTATACAAGTGATGTGACAAGTTCAGTTAGTCTAGCACAGTACACATAGCAAGTTTTTTTAATTAGAATAGAATAGAAATAGAGTAGAATAGGTAAATGCTAGTATTAATTGGTCAGGTGCTGACTGTCTTTAGATGTTTTTTGAAAATGGCTAAAGACTCAGCTGCTCAAATTGAGAAAGGCAAGTCGTTCTACCAGCTGGGAACAGTCCAGGAAAAGGTCAGTGAGAGTGATTTTGTGCGTCTTTGTGATGGTACTACGAGGCGTTCACTTTCAGAACACAAGATTCTGGAGGGTGCATAAATCTGAACTAGTGAGTTTAGGTATATTGGAGAAGAGTCAGTAATTGTCTTGTAGGCAAACATCAGTATCTTGAATTTGATGTGAGCGGCTATTGGCAGCCAGTTCAAACTGATGAAGAGAGGTGTGATGTGTGATTTATTTGGCTCGTTGAAGACCACTCTCGCTGCTGCATTCTGGATCAGTTGCAGAGGCCTGATAGTACATGCTGGAAGGCCCACCAAGAGCATTGCATTATAATAGTCCAGTCTGGAGAGAGTAAGAGCTTGGACAAGGAGTTGTGCGGCCTGCTCTGATAGGAAGTGTCTTATCTTCCTAATGTTGTATAAGGCAAATCTGCAGGACTGGGCCGTTGTAGCAATAGGGTCTGTGAAGCTTAACTGATCATCAGTCACAACTCCAAGGCTCCTGTCTGTCCTGGAAGGAGTTGTGGTTGACAAACATAGTTGTATAGATAAGTTGTGATGAAGTTCTGTGTTGGATGAGACCACGAGCAGTTCTGTATTAGCAAGGTTGAGTTGAGGGTGATGGTCCTTCATCCAGCCAGAAATTTCTGTCAGACAGTCTGCAATGCGAACAGCTACCGTTGGATCATCTGGTTGGAATGAGAAGTAGAGTTGAGTGTCTTCAGCATAGCAATGATAGAAAAAGCCATGTTTCTGAATGACAGATACTAATGATGACATGTAAATGGAGAAGAGAATTGGTCCAAGCACTGAGCCCTGAGGAACCCCAGTAGCAAGAAGTTGTGACTTAGAAACCTCACCCCTCCCAAGACACCCTGAAGGACCTACCTGAGAGGTAAGACTTGAACCATTAGAGTGCAGTTCCTGAGATGCCCATCTTCGTGAGGGTGGAAAGGAGGATCTGGTGGTTAACGGTGTCAAAAGCAGCAGACAGATCCAGCAATATGAGTACTGAGAATTTGGAAATTGCTCTTGCCAGTCTCAGGGATTCAGTAACCGAGAGCAGGGCAGTCTCAGTTGAGTGATGCCCATCTTCGTGAGGGTGGAAAGGAGGATCTGGTGGTTAAAGGTGTCAAAAGCAGCAGACAGATTCAGCAATATGAGTACTGAGAATTTGGAAGCTGCTCTTGCCAGTCTCAGGGCTTCAGTAACCGAGAGCAGGGCAGTCTCAGTTGAGTGTCGCTTTTGAAGCCAGATTGGTTGTTGTCCAGGAGGTTGTTCTGTGCGAGAAACATACAGAGTTGGTTGAACACAACTCTCTCAAGTGTCTTTGCAATGAATGGAAGAAGGGATACTGGTCTGTAGTTTTATAAAAGTGCTGGATTTAGAGAGGGTTTCTTAAGCAGTGAGGTTACTCTAGCCTGCTTAAATGCTGTGGGAAATGTACCAGTGTGAAGAGAGGTGTTGATAATGAGAGTGAGCGCAGGTATAACTGAAGAAGAAATGGCCTGAAGGAGGTGAGTGGGGATAGGATCAAGCGGACAGGCAGTAGGATAATTGGAAAGGATAAGTTTGGAAACATCTGCCTCCGAGAGGGGAGAGAAGAGAAGGTTTTGAAAAGTGTGCGAGAGTCAGAGCAGTTGTTAATTTTGTTGTGGTAGTATGTCATTTTGGCAGTGGAGACATTTGCAGAGTAGGAAGAGAGGAGTGACTGATACAAACTAAGGTCAGTAGAGTTTTTTTATTTGTGCCACTTCCTCTCTGCAGCCCTGAGCCTAAAGCAATGTTCACGCAGAACATCGGACGGCCAGGGGCCAGAGGGGGTGGTGCGTGTGGGTCTGGATGAAAGTGGGCAAAAGTTGTCTAAGCAAAATGTTAGAGTGGAGCAAAGAGTGTTAGTGTCCAGTGCTGAAAACTGAGAAGTCGGAGGAAGTGAGGATGAAACCATAGAGGTTAGGCGAGAGGGAGAGAGTGAGCGTAGGTTGCGTCAAATGGTGACCTGCGGAGGAGTGTGTGTTATGTCAGAAGTCAGTTTGAGGTTAAAAGTGATGAGGAAGTGGTCTGAGGCATGCAACGGAGTAACTCACGTGTTGTCAGTGGAGCAGTAGTGTGTGTAGATAAGGTCCAATTGGTTACCTGATTTGTGAGTAGCCATAGTAGACACTCGCTTGAGGTCAAATGAGGCAAGCAGAGTGTTGAAGTCAACAGCCTGGGGTTTTTATTGGTGGATGTTGAAGTCACCGAGTAGTACCAGAGGAGTACCATCCTCAGGGAAGTTTGAGAGTAGCACATCCAACTCCTCCAAGAAGTTACCCAGTTGACCTGAGGGATGATAAACAACTACAGTGGATTTTAACAGGGTGGGCAATAGTAATTGTGTGTGATTCAAATTAACTGTTGCCAGTAAGAGATGGTAAAGCAAATTTCTATTCATTTGAGATAAGTAGACCCCAATCGTGCGTGGGATGTGAGAAAAAGTAAAATTAGAGGAGAGGGCTGCAGGAGTGGCAGTGTCCTCAGGTTTATTCCAAGTCTCAGTTAGGACCATGAGGTTGAGACTTGAATGAGTAGCAATAGATGAAATAAAGTCTGCTTTGTTCACAGCAGACTGGCAGTTCCAGAGACCAATTGGAATAGAGAGTAAAGCAGTAGAGGACATAGGGAAAGTACGCAGATTAGGATTGCATTGCTTCCAATGTATAGAGCGTGATTTACAAGTATTAGTAGTAATGGTAGATTTGAAAGCACATAGTGAGTACACTTGACTAAAACAAGTAGATGAGAACAAGCTGTACAAAAAGTAAGGAAAGGGGAGAAAAGCAATACTCAAGTGCCTTGTGCGGTGTCCTTGCTCGGTGGAGTCGCGCAGGTAGAGTCGCTGGGCTTTATATTTGTTGGTCTTCACACGGGAAGGGCTTCACACAACATTTATAATGTAGCCAAAAAACCTTCATAATTTTGTTTTGACCATTTTCTCTGACTCTTTGAAAACTTTGTTGTTGATTTGCTGTTGTATATTTGGCTTCTAAGCGAATATCCAGTATGCTGAACACTCAATATGGCTGCTCTGTCGAACGAAGCCCCGCCTTCTGGGTAAAAGAGCCAATCTCTAATTGTTAAAGTCACTGCAGCTGCCGTTAGATGCTCCGGTTGCTATAGAAACAGTCAGCATTCAGAGACATGCGCTCAGGACTGTGCATGCGCACTGGTTGGTCTAGCCTGCAAAATAAGCTTTTTTTAACGCTATTTGAGCAAAAGAAACAACATTTATGAGACAGTTGTTGACCGATTTCATTGGTGATTTCAAATATGATATTTCATCTTAAGCTTGGCGAACAGTTTTGGAGAATTTGATGTTTCCCCATTCAAAGAGATAGAAGCTGCACTTGCATGCCTGAGTGGCGTTTCAAAGATGGCCGCCGAGTGACATGACTTGCCTTGAAAGGACTTTGGCTGAACTTACATTGTGCACGTTATGCCATGTATATAGCCATATGCTTTTTAAAATACAGTTTACATGTTTGTGTATTGTTGTTTAAACTTTTTTACACATTTTCATGGATAAAAATTGTAAACATTTAAACACGTGTCTTCTTTATAGATCACAGCAAGAGGATGGTCATGTGATCAGCCAGCATGGAAATACTAGCTATGTTTCCTCTCTCTTCAGTCTTTCTTTATGAGCATTGGGTTTAAAGGGAAGGG